CTAAAGAAAAGGGCTAGCACAGACCAGGTCTTAGCCCCAAGAGGATTAGGTGAAGCTAAGGCTCCTGTGTGTGGAGTTTGTCAGCGTTTCAAACGTGTGAATGTCCTTAAATAACCTACGTCGCCCGGAGAAATAAGCCAACTGTCACACCCAGTTCTGGATTCCACATTAACAACCTCCTTCCGCAGCATTAAACTTTGCCCTTGAGGACTTTTGTTTAACTTTTTAATTTGAAAAACAGATAGGGGCTGCTTTACAACCCGCACTTTTTGTGCAAGCTGAAAGGCCTCATTGTTAGGGCAGGAGATGTGCAGGTAGGAGTAAGTTTAACAAGTTTGCATTAGATTGTCTTGCTGGTTGCAAACACGTGAGCGGTGCTCACGGGGAGGCCTGGGAGCCGGCGGTGAAACACGTCGTGCAGGAAGGCTGGTTTAAGAAGATTTTAATAAACAATGGGCCCGTTTCTGGGCTCCTGACGCAGGCAGAAACTGCTACCGGAGTCAGGGAGGCACTTTCAGCTTTTCTCCCTTTAAATATCCTGAATCACGGAGTGTTTCCTTGCTGTGCTTCCCGTACAAAGGCCTCGATTGTCAGAAGTGGCTTGAGGATTTCTGTGTGTCTCTGCTATCTCCAGAAGAGCATAAGAAACAAATAGACTTTGGGCTATCAAAGAAATGTAATTGCCATTTCAGGCTTCCTGTTTAGGATTCAGTCAAGTAGATATTGTTTATGGTTCATAAAACCTCACTACTGTGACGATTGTCAGATAGTGGCAGCGCAGAGTTTCAACTTTCATAGTGCTGTAAATTGGGGGGGGGGGGACACAGAAGTGTGATAATACTCCTCTGAGAACAGTAAAATATAGCTCTGCAATGGTTAAATGGAATTTTATAAGCACATTCAGTGTGGAACTGTTTTGCATTACATGAGTTGAATACCTTAGAGATGACACACATCTGCAGGCACTTTATTAAATCCTTAGTCAGCACTTTTCAACCTGATGAGATTACTTCTTCATTTGACTGGAGAAAGGGAAGCAAAGATCTTGTACCGGACTGCAGAATTCTTTCTGATGTTTCACCTTGAGTGCTGGGGAAGGACAGAGAGATGCTCGGCAGGACAATACAGACCTATAGTGGCACCGACAACTGTGCAGCAGCAATTTTACTGAGTAGGACCTTTAGCTCTGCTGGATTCATTTAGCTCTAAACTCACTGGGAGAATAGTAAAGTAAATAGAGGGGCAAAGTAAATAGAAGGGAAATAAAATACCGGCTTTCTTATGAAAAAGCGTGGAGATGGTATCATCCTGACTGTATTTTGATAGTGTACACGAGTTAAATGGAGATTTTAAATTAAGAAAGGCAATACTGCATTCTCCATCTGGGTGCAGGTGGATAGGTTACAGGACGAAGGGATAAAATGGGTAAGGTGGTTAGACCTGAGAGCACAGTGCTCTAAAGAAGGCATAAAATACTTCAGCCATGCAAACGTAGGGATCCAGGCTGCTTTTTTCCCCTCTAAGCCCCCTAATTGTGCAAAACCCCTTTGACAGATTCCAACTATCAGGGCTCCGAATGCATAATACGCTTCCTAGACATTTTCATTTGAGGTCTCCTGCCCCAGCACAGAGAAGTTTCACAGGTGCTTCAGGAGGACAATGGTGCTCTTCAGACCTAATCCGGCAAGACTTAGACGTGTATAGGAGGCTTGAGGGGGATATGAGATCTTAATATTAAAATGATTAGCAGAAAAGGAGGATCACCCTGTGTGTGCATTTGAGCTGTAGGATGCACTGAATGAAACCAGTGTCCCAAGAGCGGTGCTGGTGGGATCGGACGGGTAAATGTGCTCTCTTGCCTTGCTATACTGCTGCCTCAGCCCTTCAAACATCCCATCCAAGAGGGGCTGTAGGAGCACAGGAAGTGGGATGCAGCTGTTTGAGAGGTGCTCACAGTTGGGATCCCATAGAAGCAACTTCCCAGTGGAGGCCATCCGAAGAAGTGGTACGGGAGTTTCAAAACCAGCCGTGTGCTTTGGGTTGCTCCTGGAAGGGTTAATTAAGTTTTTCATTGGTATGAAGGCCGAGCAGTGTCTGCAGGAGTCATATTGACACCCTAGTGCATGGTAACTCTACTCCTTTATTGACATGTTGCTAGTCAGGAGCACAATAGCACTCTGTGTCTGCAAATCATTGCTAAAATCATCTCAAGGAAAGAGAAGGGAAAAAAAAAAGAGAGAGAAAGAGAAAAGTTTGAAAGCCCAGCACTAGACAAAGGCCCCAGAGCTGCACTGCGCCGCCGAAAACTCCGGAGTCAGCAACTTCTATTGATTAAAAACTAACCTTTAAAGTAACTCGCAGAGTGTGTGGTTAGCATTTAAATTTAAACATGTCATGAGTTGATTTGTGTTACTGAATACCAACTCCGAAGGAGTTACATTCACATCAGATTTTTTTCTTTTTCTAATTCCCTTAAGCAGCTAAAGTATTTCATGAAATGTCAATAGGGCAGGGGGGGGAAAAAGGTGTTTTGGAGGGAGGGGACTCGCGCCCAGCCTTGCCGTTTTCTTTTCCCATGCAAATAGTCACCCCAAAAAGAAAAGTGTGGGGAGCGACACACAATAATTAGACCTTTGTCTAACTTTCCCAAGTGCCAGAGAAAGACAGATTAATTAAATATACAACAGTGTTGGTTTTTGGAGTGGGGGTCTCTCTTGCTGTGGAGGTCATAAATTAGGCAGAATAAATACTTCAATGTGTTTGCAGCGGGGCTGCTACGTCAGAGCGGCTGGCGGGCGGTGGGAGGGCGCAGCGCGGCTCTTGCTAATGACAGTCACGTCTGGGGCTGTCTGGTTGCCCCTAGCAACGAGACATGATGTAACACCAGGATGAACTTGAACTTGGGGGACTTGAAAAGGGAACAATAGACCAGAGCAATCAATAAAGCCTATTTCAGTGAAGGATTACAGAGCCGCTCTGGGGTAACCTTGTCTGCAAGGCGCAGGCTGAATAGCAAGATGCGTGAAGGAGCGCGGTGCCGCGGGGGGACGGACGGACGGACGGGCGCGCGGACGGGCGGCGGGGCGCAACCGTGGCTTGCTCGCTTTCTGCCTTTTTTTTTCCCCTCCCCTGTTTCCTTCTTTTTCTTTTTCTTTTTTTTTTTTTAACAAGAAAAATCTGCTTTTGAAGCAAAAAGAGGAGTGGCGAGGCCAGAGCAGCTCCCGCCATCCCGGCCGGTGGTGGGCCATGTGGCGGTGGGAGCCAATTGGACATCTGCAATCTAGATTCCAACCATCAGCTCTGAATTTTTAACCCCTCTACTCCCCGCTGGGGAACTTCCACAGTTCCCAGCCTGGCCAAAGGCTTTCACGCTCAAATGACAAGCGTTAAGGGACGACCCTGCAAAGTTGGGACGAGTTTGCAGTGCGCGGTGGTCAGAGGTGCCTCCGGCACGGCCCGCGCTCCGCTTCCCTGCGCCCGCCTAAAATCCATTGGGCCCTGCAATCAGGGAGGGGAACGGGACTTGGCACCGCTTCACAAGTCCTGCCAGAAACTTTTCTCTGTTTATGAACTTTACATATGAGAACTATTTGGTTTAATTGCAGCCTGCGTAAGTCTAAATATAAAATCTGTAGGCAATAGATGGGGCCGATATGGGACCTGTGTGTTTGTGTTCAGAAGGGTGAGCAGAGGAAGAGTTAGTTAATGAGGTGTATTGGAAGCAGGACAACTTCTCCGATCATGCTATTTATTTTACTGGTTCCTACCTCCATGGCAAGACCACATAATCTCCAAGTCCCACATGAAACTTGCCTCAGAGTCTTCTGTAAATGTTCATAAATCCTCCCCGGGTTGATTATGCTATCAATCACGTCAGACGCTGAAAAGGAATGGAGGAAAAAGTTGGTAAAACTTGTCGTCGGTTCATACATGCACACGTATGCACCTCATATATTACAGGAGCCAGAGTCCAAACGTGGGGTATCAGCAACGGCTTTTTAATACCTGACTCTTTCTTGTTGTATTACTTTCCTTCAGGCTAAATAGTTGCCGCTTGTTGGTGTATTCCCACAGCAATATGTCATTGCCAAGTCGCATCCCCCTGCGCCTTCGATCCCAGGGCCTAACACTGCTCTTATTCATCCCAGGTTCAGGTTGGCCTGACCTCGCCAGGGCCGAGCCGGGTCTCCCCGGTGCAGTGGCACTGTCCCGACTCCAGCAGAGCCCACTCCAGCTTCCCGACAGTGTTTATTTTCCTATCAAGGAGCGAAATTGCTTTCTGTGCTCCGGGCATCTGCGCGGTTGGGTTAAGGACGGTATTGTTGCCGAGCTGAATTCCCAGGGAATTCCCTCCCTTTAGGGGTAGGAAGGAGGGGAAAAAAAAGTTTTCCCAAAGAAAAGCTATTCGTTGAGGTCCACGTTTTGTTTTGAAACACAAGTATGGCCAGAGATACGGGACATTTTCGCTGATCCACTTCCCCCCGGATTTGCTTTATCCCGGCTTTTCTCTAGCGATCCACATTTCTCCTAAGAAAACAGCCCTGTTGTTGAATTTCTGTGCATCTGTTCCAGCGAGACAGTTGAAGCAGGGCAGTATAAAGCAACAGATGCTTATGCTGGCACATGCCTAAATACCCAAGAAAACCCCGACTGCAGGGTGATAAATGGCACAGGGAGGCGAATGTGCGTCGCCTTTTCAGGGGATTAGACAAAAGTGAACTGGAGGGATCTTCAAGCCATCATCTATTAAAAAGATTGATAACTTGTAACGTGACACGACCCCCGTGTTCATCTGTAGCTATGTCCAGTGACTGTCAGTGAGAAAAAAAAATATAATATATTGATTTGTACAGTATTTTTAATTAAGCTTTGTAATTAGGTCAATTCGTCACAGTCTCAATTAGCCCCCCTCTTGGTGGAGGAGGCCGGCCTGCCCGGAGCCCTTTGGGAAGCAGCAAAAATGGGCATTGGGGCTGATGCTTCTCCCATCTCTTTTGCAGTCCTGGTACCTGGGATAAAAGTCTCCGCTTCCCACCACCCACCGGACAGACCACCAGACCCCTTCCCACCTCTGTAACACGGAAGCAGCAGCAACGCAGCGCAGCGACTTCACATCGGCGGAAGGGGAGGCGAGCAGACACCGACAGCAAACTAGTACATGGAAATGGCAAACGTTATGGTTGAATGGCAAAGGCCGTAACTTTTTTGAGATTTTAATTTTATTTTTTTTCTTTTTTTTTTTTAGACAACTTTAGGACTGTTGTAATTTCTCCTCTGGTGCTGGAAATGGTTGGGCTTCATAACTTTTGAAGTGTTTCATTGGTAGTGTAAGCGTTAGGTGACACTGAGTAGAACTAGCCTCTGCTGCTGCTTACCAACTCGCTGTTGTAACACACTTTCCATATGGAGCCTAACTGTTTTACAGTATCCTCATCGATTTTTTCCCATCCAAGGTGTGAGACTTCTATGAGAAATCATGAAACACACTTAAACTATAACTTTTGTAGTAGCTGAATTCTGCAATATATAACTTACCGGACAGACATAGAGCATGTTTTTTCTGTAACATATCAGAAAAAAAAAAGAAAAAATTGCAGGTTTTCTTTTTTTTTTTTCTTTTGGTTGGGGTTTCTTTTTTATTTACAGTCAGCACTTAGAGACGTAACATGAACCATCAGAGCATTGTCAACGATGTTTTTTTCCACTCGATTGCAGAGCGATTTAAAACCATCGAACTACTACTCTTCACTTCGAAAAAAAAAAAGAAAAAAAGAAAAAAAAGAAAAAAAGTTTGAAATGCTGCACTTACATTGAAAAAAAATGAAAAACATTTTTTCAACAATTTTCAACAATTACACAAAAATTCACGCAGAAAAGGGGAAGTTGGTCTGTTTTGACAGAAACTGACAGGAATCAATCAAAACAATCGAATTTTGAATTGAGTAAAGTGCAATTTCATTGGATAGCTAAATATCTTTGTAAGATAGAGATTGTTGAAAATTCTATTTTTGTTTTCCAAGTCCTTCCACCCCAGGACTCTAAATTATTGGGGTAAAAAACAGCCTTGCAAGAAAAAGGGGAGCTATTTTTGCTTTTTATGTTTTTTATTGTTGAACTTGTATCCCTTTAAAACTGAAGGAAAATCTAAAAAAAAAAAAATACAAAAAAAATACAAATCTAATGGTGCTTTTACCACAATATGTTAACTACATTAAATGCTAATTAATCATTTTCTGTTATCAAAGCACATAACTAAAATGAAATCATAATCTCTGTTAATTTTATAAGCTAAAAGTCACTATAATGGATTATGCCAATTCTGACAAATTTTACGTGTTTCCGGCAATATAGGGTTTATCAGTTCTCAAACACCTTGGGAATAAGAGAGAACGGTCCAGAAAGTAAAACACCTTGGTGTCCCTGAACTGGTACATTTTCTGGACTGTGAAGAGAACATTAACAGAAACGAATGATGCTGATCTTACAACTTATGCCAGTTCAAAAGCAAGGGCACTTGCTGAAGAAGAGAGAGAAAATAATAAAAACAAGAGAAAAAAAAAGAGACAAAAAAGAAACAAACACACAAAAAAGAGAAGTTTGGACCCCAAACGTCCTGTATCTTATGTACAAAAAAAAGGAAAAAAAAAGAAAAAAAAAAAAAGAGTGCAAGTGATTTTTTCTATCAGACAGCGGAGCACCCCTTTGCTTCACATGCAACTTTAAGAAGGTTTCCTATACTATACATATATATACGTTCTGGTTGGCAAGTCCAGCTAATCAGAGAAAGTCTCTGCATGTTCTAGTGTTAGTAACTAATTTTTATATAGTTAATGTAGGGTAAAGTAGAGTGCATTAAGACACAATATTGTAATCCCTATTCCAGGCACTTGCCTTTAAACTATGTTTGTTCGACCCTTCAGAAGGGTTTCTACTACTGTCCTATACAATCAAGTAACTGAAATTCTTGGGAAGACACTTTGCTCCTCATCTTTTCCCTGAAACAATGTTTTGTTTTTCTTTTTTTTTTGTTTTCTTAATTTGCACGAAACGAGATGAAAAAAAAAAGAAAAAAAAAATTCCATATCAATGTGCCTTGCCCTGGATAGCGATTATTTGTGGAATTGTTGCACATGTTCCTATATTGAAAGGGGGTTTTTCCCTAGTCAAGCATTTGGAGACACTTTTTGTAAATGTGACTTTTATGTCAGCCATTGTCAGTTCCAACATCTAGAATTAAATAGGATGTTAGTTGTTCCGCAGATAGGAGTAGTGTTGATTGTCCTGTATGGTCAGTGGCAGTGCTATTCTGAGATCTGTAGATGCTAGATTATCAGTATTTTTGGATGTTGCTGCATTTTACATTTTATTTGGAGTCTTCCTTTGTTTTCGTTTTGTTTTCTCCCAGATATATGAAAATATGCAATACCTGCTTATATCATGTAGAAAAGCTTAGCGATTATTAATTTTTCTTTTTCCCTTTATTTTTGGGTTTTTTCATTTGTTTTTTTTTCTTTTTCTTTTTTCTTTTCCCTTTTTTCTTTTCTCTTTTTTTTTTTTTGGTTTTTGTTTTATTTGACCAAAGTTGGTGCTGCACTTGACGCAGTGTGTTTTAGGTGTTTGTCTTTGTACTTTTGTGATTTTGAATGCACATGCAGGAAGGGCTCTTCTTAGAGAAGCAGTCAAACTGTGAAGCACTAAGCTGAACCCTGCTTCAAGCAATTTTTGTTTTACAACTGTTCCTTTCACAAGCAAGCCTTAAAAAAAACAAAAAAAACACAAAAAAAATACAACAAAAAAAAACAACTTCCTTTTTCTTCAGATTCCCACACCCATTTTTATTAGCAGACTGCAATCAATCCACATTCAATAAAAGTATATAATGCCCATTTTTATATGCACGTTTTTAAACTTCCAAGTTCTGAAAATTGTTTACTGGTTATTCTCTATTTAAGGAAAAAAATAAAATGTTTTGGATTTTCATATGTGTCTGATAAGTGGTTGAGTAGTCATTTTGCTCTATTGTATTGTGTGATTGTTAGTATATGGTATCACATCCTCTAGCCAGCATCCTTTGCCTTCCCTATAGCACTTAGCTGGGCATTACTTTATTAAGACATATGTGCACTAAAAAAAAATAGCAGCTTTCAGTGCTTCACAGTGAAGGGAAAAAAGCCTAGACAAACATTTTGTCAGAACCTTGCTATGAGACAAGGTATTACCAGTAAATTGGTTGTATATACAATAAAATTGCACCCTTTTTTAAACAAAACAAACTAAGCAATAGTTTGGGCAGTTAGTTGTTTTTAGTGAGCATGTTGTAGTCATGGCTGCAAAGAGAGAGAATTAAACTGCCCACTCAGAAGATATGTAATTTGTATGTTGTATAGTTTTATTGATTACACTGATTTATTCTACCCTATTTTATAATGCAGGACTTTTGTAATGTTGTTTAAATGAGGAAAAATTTCTGTCAAAATTAGCTTAGTGGAATTTCTGATTGTTCGTTATAAAGGCAGCGTTCATAGAATTGCTTTTTTTTTGTTTTTTTCTTTTTTCTTTTGGTTTTTCTCTTTTTTTTTCTTTTTTCTTTTTTCTTTTTTTTTTTTCTTTGGGAACTGGATTTAAGTTAAAAACTTTCCCGTTTCCTTTTTTTGTATGTATTTAAATACAGTTATTTTTCTTCTCTCAATGGTATAGCATATTCCTATGCTTGAGAAGTATAGGCTACTGAAGAACCATTGTAAATGGACATTACAGGTATGCTGTATTTTTGAAGGTATTTTGTCATATTGAGTTTGATGACGCTAAAGTTAGGGAACTCTGAGCAGAATTGTGAGAAAAAGAAGAAAAAAATGTTTTAAAGGCTTTAAAACATGAGGTAGGCGGTCAAGGGTGTAAACCAACAGGGGTTGTAAAGTATTACACACTAAAGTACGTTTTTCCTTCACCTTAACTCTCCCGCAGGAAAGCCGGCAGCTCCGTTCTGTGCAGGTGTAGAGAACAAACAGTGTTTTCCCCTCCGAGCCAGGCAGGGAGCGGGGAGCCGAGCCCAGGGACCCAGCTTGGGGTGTGCAGGCAGGAGCAGGCAGGAGTCGGGCCGCAGCCGGAGCCCCCGGCTCCGCGTCACGTCCCCATCCCGCTGCCCTCCCAGTCGCTCCCTTTTGGAGTCACGAGAACAAGTTCTATTCCCTCTCTCCCCCCCTCCCCATCTCCTTCTCTCCACAATCCGTCAGACGCACAAATACTCTGACCTGTATCCACCCCCCAACCATCCGAATTGAAAGCCCTAGCGATGGCTTAGAGCGAATTGACTTCTTCTCAAGTTAATTCCTTCCTTTTTTTCCTCTTTTTTTTCCTTTTCCTTGGAGCGAGGGCACTTGCTTTCATCATGCCGCACACCCCAGCGATGCCATTAGTATTTATTCTTCTTCCTTCATCAGAAAAGAAACTTTGGGGCTTCGAGTTTAGGCAGCCATGGTACACTTTGTCTCTGTTGCTTGTTCCCCCTCCCCTTAAGGTCGAAGGGGAAACGAAACACCGAGTTTTCTCAACTCCACAGTATTCAGTCAGCCCACAGGAATATGCAAAATCCCTCTAACATTTTGTTTTTCTTTCTCTAGTTCTCTTTGTTCCGTATATTTGCAGCTTTGTAGTAACAGTGTTATGAAATACTTACTGTACAAAAAGACAGGAAAACCCAGATGCATAGCCTAAAACAGGTTTTTTTTTCCTTGTGGTGAATTCTTTTCTTTTTTTTTTTTTTTCTAAAGAATGTCAGTTAATATTGTACTTTGCATTGTGTCTCTGGAAATATCTTTTTTTCTTTGGGGGGGGGGTGTTTTGTTTTCCTTTTGGTAGAAGGCCTCCATCGAACAAAATTAAAACCATAACCGGCATGACAATGTAAGGAGAGCTTCAATGGCACCTAAACAAGAAATAAATACCAAACCCAACCTCATGAGGTCTGTCGGAGGCAGGTCTTGTGAAGTTACCACTGCCTGCTAGGCAGGATTGTCATTAAATCAAGCTTACAATGCCAATTTTGTCTCGAAGTCAATGCATGTGTTACTGTTTGACAGTAAACCCAGCTATGCCATCATCAAGTCCAAGGCTGCGCAATAGTCTAATTAGTATCGAGTACATTTTCCTTTTATTTTTTCCAATAAAAAAGCAGTGGGATGAAAATTGCTTTGATATATAGCAGGTAACATTGAAGCTATTCCATAGCACTTAACTGTAGTGAATACTGTGTCACCAATTCTGAAATCAATTTAATGTTTAATGCAAATCCATTACATGGTGCTATTACAGGCTGGCAAAATGATTTACAAAAATGTGACAACTTGGGCTCAATTCACTCTGCTTTCCAACAATGTAAATGCATAGCAGTGTTTATCTGCATGAAAACTATGCACTAATCTATCTGAAAAAGAAAAAAAAATGAATATATCAACTTTGGTATCTACTTTCCGTTTACTTCGATCCTTGCCTTTTCGGTCATTGTTATAATGCCAGCTTTAGGACAGAAAGAGTTATAAGAAAACCAGCATAATACCTGATATATTAAAATGTAGTGCCTGTGAAATCTGTATTATATTGCTCTTCTGAAGTAAGATTTTTTCTACACCGGTAGCCTTCGCTGTCTGTCAGAACCTTCTGATATAGGTGATGTAAAATAACCGTACAATATTAATGCATGCTATTCCATAATGCTTAGTAGCTGTATGAATATTACTCAAAGTTATGTTAGTCTTTTTTTCTGACTTGGTTCTTGTCAGATAGGTTTAAAGATATTTCACTGAGAACGCAAAATTCTGTCTTCTCTTGATTTGGGGTGTTTTCAGTATTTTGGAGGTATACATTTACTTAAATTCAGTATTACTTGTGTTTTGGGTTTTTTTTCTTTTTTTTTTTTTCCTTTTTTTTTTATTCTTTATTTTTTTTCCCCTTTTTTGTTATTTTTGTGGTCAGTTTTGGTTTCTCCTCGAGGGCAGGACATGGTGTTTGAGACCACAGATCCGTGCCTGGTAAGGTCTTTTCGTCTCGAAAAGCTACCCTAAGAATTCAGAGAGCTTGCTCTGACCAACAGCCGCACACAGTTCAAGTGGAAGGGACAGTCCTTTCTCAAACCCACCCCCGAGGTTGAGCTCACGTTGCGAGAGGTTTCTGAATGGGCAGCGCTGAACCAGGTACCCATGCTTGACCCTTCTTCACACCAGACTTCCTCATATAGAAAGAATTAAAACAAACACACAAAAAAAATTTCACAAAAAAAATTAAAAAAAAAACTTTTCAAAAAAAATTCAAAAAAAAAGAAAAAAAAAGAAAAAAAAAACCTCATGTGGTTGTTTAGTTTCATGCACAGTTGCAATATTTTTTCTTCAGACAAACTCTGTACAAACTTTGGGCCCGATTCATAAAAGCTCCGTTGCTATTAACACGGGAGGCTGGTGGCTTTTCTCCGCCGAGCGGCCGGCAGCTCCCTCCCTCCGGGCTGTCCCGCTGGCATTCCTCGCCCTCCCCTTCCCCTCTCCGCCTCCCCTAACCCCACCGGAGAACAGGAGCGGCCGGGAAGGGGCTGTGCAGGAGGCGAGGCAGCGCAGGGCCGTGCTCTGACACCCCAGAGGCACAGGCTGGCAGGAGGAAGGGGGGACAGGACGGCTCCGTGCCGCGCTCCGGCCGGTGCAGGGCTCTGTGACACCCTGGGACGAGGCTGCTGGGGTTACTCGACCTTGTCCCTAGCAGACAAACTGCGCTGGGTCGCTACCTCTGAGCTCTAGGGAAAACCTTCGGGAAGCGAGCGCTGGGACACGATGTGAACCTTTGTTGGGTTTTTTAGGGAAGGCTGCTTTCCACTTAGCTAATCCTCTGTGCTCGAGCACGAACAAAAACAATTGTGTTGGGTGAGATTCCCAAACACACACAACCCCCTGCCCAACCCCCTGGCCTTTTAGCTGCATCCACAAATTAATAAGAGGGGAAATACAAACCAAACCAGAAGATGAGTCTCTAGGACAAGAGCATGGTAGGAAGAGAGCGCCCGGCCCGGCATCGCCGCTTGTGCTTGTTGCCGGCGCCTGGCTGCTGCCTTGGGGGAAAGCTCTGGGAAATTCTTTGCTTTGGAAATACAATCAAGGAGAAAGCTGGGTTTTGGCCGAGCCTTGACCTGGCCCTGCCTGGGACCGGCCCCGCCAAGTCCCTGAGCCTCAATTGGGAATTCGGGGCGCTAAAATTTCCACCGGCCGTGTGAAAGATCCGCTGCAAATTCACTTGACACCCGTGTTAATACCATGTCGTGTTCATTTCTATTTTATGAGTCAGGCCCCTCGTGCCTCTAGTATCCTTGTATTGACTCTCATAGCTACCATTTTAGTTTTACTGTGTTCTGTGAAAAAAGAAAAATTGTAATTGGTTGAGAATCACTGTGGGCATCCATTCTTATTCAACTAAGTCTCCGCAGGTTTTTTGAGCTGGTGTGGATTAGTTTAACTCTTGTATTCAACCATTAGTGCTACCACCTTCTCACATTACAATACAATTACTGGAAGCAAGTACTGCATTTCCTATGCAACAAAAAAGGAAAATAAAAAATTGCTAATGCTAACGGGCTGTGTTGTTCTTTACTGGCACCCGGGCACTGCAGGGACGCGGCATCGCCGCTGGGCATGGCACCGGCAGCCCGGGTACCGGCCTCCGGCCTGGGCACGTTTGGGGGTTCCCAGGCAGTAGCTTCAGCCCTGATCAAGGGGATGTTTGGTTAAATCAAGCCACGGTCATCACACTGCTCCGCTTTATAGAACCCCAGCCTGGTTTGGGTTGGGAGGGACCTCAAAGCTCATCCAGCTCCAACACCTGCCACGGGCAGGGACCCCTTCCACTAGAGCAGCTTGCTCCAAGCCCCTGTGTCCAACCTGGCCTTGAGCACTGCCAGGGATGGGGCAGCCACAGCTTCTCTGGGCACCCTGTGCCAGCGCCTCAGCACCCTCACAGGGAAGATCTTCTGCCTAAGAGCTCAGCTCAGTCTCCCCTCGGGCAGGTTCAAGCCCTTCCCCTTGGCCTGTCCCTACAGGCCCTTGTCCAAAGCCCCTCTCCCACGCTTTCCCATGCTGCCGGTGTCCCACCAAGACAAAATCATTCCTCACATGATAACAAATTAATCTTCAGCGACCCCCTGCAGATTGAATCATCCAAAGGAAAGACTCGGAGCACATCCAGTGAAGTCCAAGGAGATGAATTAGTTCTGCAAATGCTGCAATATAGCTTTAAATGCAGCTGAACTTTATGGCAACTGCTGCATTCCGAGAGCCCCACTGCCAGACACCAGCCACGCTTTGGCTATCCCTATTGCACTGGCCTTGAAGGAGAGCCACAGGCCCCTGACTGTGCTGCACCTCTCTGCAAGGCTCCTGTGGGCCTGGGACAGGAAAGAAAACAGGCTTCTGTACAACCTTCAATGCTTTCCTCTAAGGTTTTTCCTCTGCAACACCTTTTCCTTACTGGATACATGCAGAAATTAATATTTGCAGAATGGAATTTTTTTGGATTTGAGCCATTCTGCCTCTTTTCTACTTAAAAGCCAGCCCTGAGGGGGATGAGAGGTGAGGGCTGGTGCTGCTCTGCCCCGTGGTCTCAGGGGACAGGAGGTGGGGACCACCACAGCACCCAGCCTGTCCCAGTGCAGCACCAGCAGCAACACCAGCTCTTCCCTTTCCTTTCAGGGGAAATGAGTGTTTTCTAACAAACAGTTGCCCAACACTCATAAACCATTGGTATTTCCTTTCTCACACCTCCACACAGCTTCAGTGTTGGCTACAAGGCCAGGACGGGAGGTTTGGGCTCTAATGTCTCCATTGTCGGGGGCCCATCTGTGCCCCTTGCACATCCCAATCTCTTAGGATGTGTCCCTGGCTGGCACCAATGCACGGTGCAGCAGCTGAGGACAGGTTGGAGCTCGTTCAACTGAGCTTTTTGTACTCATGAAGGGGACTAGACCATAAGGACAAACCAATTCTGTCCTTACAGAGCCCATGCAGGGGCTCACCAGCAGCGTTTGTCCCTTTCACCTCCCTACGAGCCCTGTGAGGAGGGATGGAGAAGGAGGAGCTGAGCCTGAGCTCGCTCCCATGTTTGGACAAAAAAGCTGGTCTCAATGCAGCAAAAACGAGCCCAAAAGGTGGCAGTGCCCCTTTGGCTTGGAAATGAGCCTGGGTACGAGCCAGGATGCCCTGTGGGGTCACAGGAGGTGGGTGCTTCCTTCAGACAAGGGGGTGCGGGGATGGGAGGGACCCGGCCATGCACATCACTGCATGAAACACACCGAAAGGTGAAAACCTGCTTTAAAGAACATAAACCAAGCAATTGCACTGCACAGGGAAGGTTTCTGCCCATCGTCCCCTCTGCGGCCACTGCAGCTGATGCTGTGCTCCCTGACAGCTCCTTAACACGACAATCCCCCATCACACTGGGCCCCTGCCCTGCACTCCCATCCATTGCCTCCCCCCTATAAAAATCATTCACTGTTAATCATTTATGCCCTTTGTTATTGAAGGTGTTGGCTGAAGGTGCCCTGGGTTTTGGTGGAGGAACCAGGAGGGGGCCAGACCCTGCCCCAGCCAGGGTGAAAGCCATGATGGGAGCAGGCTGGGGCTCAGGATCCATCTCCTGCTTTCTCACTCCTTTCTGCACCTTTTCTTTCCCTCTTCCTTTCCACCTTCCTCCCTGCAGAAGAAAAGGTCTCCATCAGCACCTAAGGAAATAAATCCCATTTATTATTTATTGCTATCAAAATGTGTCAGCTTGGCTCGGGACGCAGGAGGAATACGCAATAGCCCGCTAACAGAAAAGTAATTTTAGGTGGAAAAAGCACAGGGTGATGTTTAGGTGGGGAAACATGGGGGCTTTGCTGCTCTGCTCGGAGGGAGAAGGGATGGGATGTGCTTATAGGGAGACGGGTGCAGCATGAAGCCCATCTAAAAGTGAGTGTTGGGGTGCACAGGTGAGAAGCCCCAACCCCTGGCTCCCCCTTTTTAATGAGGTTTCATTTATCCCCATTCGATTTTTCATCAGTGGAAGAAATATGAGCTGAAAACCCTGTTCTGGCCATAAACACCAGAGTCCTCATGCGAACCCTGTATCCCTCAAAAGGATGCTCGTGATGTGGTGGGTGATGAAGCCATGGCAAGTGCGGTGGTGACAAAGTGTTTGTACCAAATTTGGGTGTTTTCATCTTTCTCTCCCTAAATGCAAACTGTGCCAAACTGCCTTTGTATTGCTGATAGAGAATCTTCCGAAACGTTCAATCATTGTCATTGCACAGATCTCCTGCAGGGATTACTCACATGTCATGGAACAACGGCCTCTGTAATTCCTGGTACTGGCAGATCTGGCTACTTCATCTTTCCCTTAAACGAAACCGTTCCCAATGGTGCGACAAGGAAAGGGCTTTGGAGTGTTACCAAGGTGGTCGCTTCATCCAGTGTCTTTTATCTGCCAAAGACAAGCCAAGACTGGAAACGTTTATTGGTCCAGTACTCCAGCAACACGGTGTTCACTGCCTCTGAGTGTTGTGATGGGGAGTTAGCACACGGGTATTGATCACAACAGCACCACTTCGTTTTAAAATGAACTGCTTGGCCAGGCTGCACCAGGAGCTGATGGATTGTGGCAATAAAGATGTGATAGAGATTTATGCCACTGCAACTCGCACTCTGGAATGCTGTGAGATGGGAGGACAGGAGGACAGGGCCGCAGCCAAACCCCCCCTTTCCTTACCTATGGGCAGCTCTGTGACTTCCATGGATCCTTCCAGAAATTTTCCAGGAGTTTCATGACCTCTTTAGGTCCATTTGTTGCTCCTTTAAAGCAATGCTCAGGGGGCAAGGGAACCTTCCTTGCAGCTGGAGACAAGGCCAGGGCTCCAGAGAGAATGAGATGCTCTGAGCAACCTCCAGAGGGATGGAAACAAAGCTGAGCTTTCCCTTATTCATTCCTACTGGGGCCACTGGGGAGGAGAGGGGCACCTGATAAACCATGCAGTCATTCCCACTCTCCCAAGAAGCTTTGAAACACAGAGTCAGGCTGCTGGTGCTGCAGAATGGCAAGATGATTTATTATTATTGTTGCTATTGTTGTTGTTAGTATTATGATTATCATCCTGATAGCCGTTGCGCTCACTTGAATGCTTTTTCCTTTGTTGTGCAGGGATTTTGGATACCCATGTGGAGTGACATGGTTTGGGATTAGACACAAGGCAGGTTCCTTTTCAGAGGTCTCTTGATTCACGTTGGTGAAGACTTGGAAAGTCTCTTCTCTTCTAGCCTGCCAGCCGTGGCACAGCAGGGTAAGAGAGCTGCTGGTCTAAGAAGCTGCTTGAGGCCAGACCCGTACTACCTGTTCTCTACACCAAACTGACCCGAAACAGGAGCTGGTAGCAAGGACTGTTATAAACTTATATATAAATGTCCCATCTTTAGATTAGCTCAAGGCCAGGTTGGACACAGGGGCTTGGAGCAAGCTGCTCCAGTGGAAGGGGTCCCTGCCTGTGGCAGGGGCTGGAACTGGGTGAGCTTTAAGATCCCTTCCAACCCAAACCATTCTAGGATGTGATGATGATGATGACTATTATTATTATCATTACTATTACTATTAGCCACTGAATGGCCTCTTGCTTGCCAGCGCTGGACCCAGCATGCACTTGTTTGTCCCACTCTTCCCTCCCAGCAGCGCATCGCTGCAGCTCAGGTCAGACCCAAAGCCCCAAACCCCTTCTCCAGGTTTTGCTGAGCTGGTTCTTCATTCTTGCTGGGGACAGGAGGCAGGGCCTGGGCAGGGGACATATTCATGTGCAGAGGGTGAACGCAGCTCCCTGCCTTGGCAGTGGAGAAATGGGAAATGCTTCTGTTAATGTGATTCGTAACATGCAACACCTGCCTGCTCACTGCAATAGCCAAACCTATTAGGAGGAGGAGATGCAGCCAGCTATTTTGGACAGAGCCTTGGGTGACATGGTTTGGTGGGAGGTGTCCCTGCCCATGCCAGGGGGGTTGGAACTGGATGATCTTAAGGTCCTTTCCAACCCTAACTATTCTATGATTCTATATGGGGTTTAATTCCTCCCCTCACTAATCCTTATTTCCCCATGTACATTTCATAACCCAACATCTGTTTTCCCCCTCCCAAAGCGAAAGAAACGCTCTTCCTCCAAACCGCTGCCTTTCATCCTGGGGTGGAAGATGCACAACTTTCAGAGCACCTTCAGCCAGGTGTTGCGTTTACAAACAAAAGTGACAAATGCGATCGGGTAGGACAGGTATCTGAATTATCGATTGTTACATATTTAAGCTGCAAGGCCCCATCCATCAGCGCGTGTGAGAAAGCTCAGGGCAGATTTATGGGGCTGGAGTTTTCCCGGTTAGCTGGCACTTAGCATTCCTATTAATTATAGCCCACACACTGGGGGGGGTCGGGATTTGTTAGAAGCATTTATAATATTAACCATTTCAATATTGTTTGTGCAACTGGAACCTGTTTCCTATTGGGGATTAATAAACTGCTTGATTTAGGGTGGAATTGAGTTGGAAGGTGCAAGTCTTGGGAGATGAACGC